CGTTTTGTCTCAAATCAAAATCGGATCTCAAACCAAAGAGGAATTTCAAAGAGTTTTCAATGTCAAGAGAATGATTCAAGGTAAGATTACTGAAAGAACCTCTCTTGAATCTCAAGTTTTCAGATTTTAAAACTTATTTTGGTTCGAAATGGATTTTGATGGATTTTGAGTAAAACTAGGATAGAAATTAGAGATCTTGGGTTCTTTGGACTTGATTTAGTACCTAGAACCCGGATCTAGTGGTTGTCCCTTGAGATATTATGATTTGGGACTGGATTTGTAGGTTTTCATACTGATTTTGTGAGTTTTCTCGCACTGGTGTTCTTCACCGGTCGCCCGGATTGCATTGGCCTGACCGGTTGACCGGATTACACACCACTGGTCGACTAGTGGTGTTGCACTGCTTTGTCACCGGTCGACCGGTGTACACGGGGTTTAACCCTGTTTGGCATGATAATGCTGTTTTGACCTCTGTTTTTTAGGATGACCCAAATTAGCTTCATTTGGGGACCTAGAGTAGATGGATTAACATCTTTAATCCATGTTTTGAGATTGAAAACCCTTAGAATGGTGATTTGAAACATGAAATTGATTAGGGCACACTAATAGGAAATCAAAGGATATAATTGAGATTGAATTACTTTAGGAGTGAGAATTGAATCCTAAAGTATTGTCTTGTATCAGTGTTAGTTGAATACTCGGATTGAGTGGCTTGAGGAAGCGGAAGCCGGGATAGTGCACCTCTAGCCACAGGTTTGATATCACGAGGTAGGATCTCTATCCATTTTCTTTGTGAGCCTGTTTTCAAAAGGATTTTGGCCTTGCAAATGTTTTAAAGAAAGGGGCTTGTTTGTGAAAGAAAAGGATTTAAAACCCATGGCTTGTTGTAGTTCATGGTACCCATGGCTTGTTGTAGTACATGGGACCATGGCTTGTTGTAGTTCATGGGACGCATGGCTTGTGTAGTTCATGAGTTTATAACAAACGATTTCGTAAAGTTTAATGAATGATTTCTTAAGATAAGAGATCTTGCGAACTAGTAAACTGGCTGATGGCCAAGATAAGATGTGGAGAGTGCATCCTTGGGGCAGGACCCGAAACTCCGGGGGTATGGCTTGTGCATGTGGTTGTGTAAGTGATTTATCATAGTATAAATTACTTGCTGATGCCTGTAATAAGGAGATTTTCAGTTATATTTCTTTTGAGAAAAATGATGTGAGGTTCCGGCTATTTGTTGGAACTGAATGTCTTATTTTATTTACTTATTCATTTATTTATTTACTCACTTATTTATTTATTCAATTCTTTATAAAGTTATTTCAAATTATATCATACTGGGCCTTTCGCTCACGTTTCCTATGTTTCAAATGTATTACACCCCTCCCAGACGACTCTGGGAGCGGTGCGGAGTAGCTGGATTATTAGCTACCGTTCGATCAAGTGAGGATTGTGTTCATCCTCTTGAATATATGTAAGGATTTGTAAACTCTGATATTTAAATTTCTAGACTGTTGATGATGTCTGTAATGTAATGTTTTATTTACATGTTCATGTATGTACGGTAATGAGATCCTGTGGATAGGTCCTGTAATTTATTTTAATCAAGTGTGGGGCTCGTTGGGAATTTCCTTTATTATCATGAGCATAACCCCTAATCGAACTCCACGTCACCGACCTCTACTCCGGGGCGTGACATTTATTTAGTGAGATTTGAAAGTGCAATTACATTTATACCATCCTAATTAAATTAGATCTCATGGATTAATCGACAAAATTCACCATCTTTAAATTTTTTAAGGACCAAAAAAAAAAAGCTAGAAGAAGACCACGAATCTCCCAAAGACCTAAATCCTAATTCCACAAAAGATGAGATAAAGTACACTGAAAATCACGAAAACTCAAAAAACTTAGAAACGGAAATCAAAGAACAGATCACGAGGAAGAAGAAGAGGAAGAAAGGGAAAAATAAGAAAAAACCTACCCATTAACAAGTGTTGTAAAGATTCACAAGAATCTGGTGTGCCCAAAGTTTTCTTGATTCTCTCAAACAAATCAAAGTGGCTCCTTAAGCTTAAACTTGGTTATATTCATATACACAGACATATATATATATATACTTGAGATTTACAATGAAGATTGATTTTGTTTCTCTGATTTTTCTTTTTGGGGAAAAACTTCTAACCCTAACTTCACCAATATAATCGATATAATGGATTAATATTTTTTTTATTTAGGCATTTGAGTTTTTTAATCCCTTTTGTAATAACCTAGGGTTTTTACATAATATTTTACGATAATACCCTACTTAGGTGGGCTAAATAATTGACACATGTCGAATTCCGTCACTCAATATAACATAATGGGCAAAATTGTTAACAGAATAAAGTTCGAGGGGAGAGGATGTTACGATTTGAAATTCGGGAGACAAAGTGTTACAAGGGTCATAATTCGGAAGGAATTTTTAAATTAATCCTATAACAAACTCATAAAGTTCAGAGGGCAAAATGCAGGACAAAATAGTTTCTCTAGTAAAATTAGAAAAAATAAATTACTGATAATTTTTAACTTTTAGTCATTATATCTGTTTTAAAAACTTTTTATTTTGCATATTAATTTTAACTTGTTATTATTTTGATCAAATTTAACTGTTAGAAACTGACTTTAACAGTAGAGAGGTCTAATGGAGAAATTTTTGCAAAATAAATAATGTATAATACAATTCTGATAGCTAAAAAATTGAGACCCACTTATTCATTTTCTATTTAGAATATGTTTGGAAGGTTTATTTAAACTATAATTCTTAACCGTAGCATTTAAAATTAATTATTATTATTATTATTATTTTATTTTGTTTTAAGGAAAATACCGTTTGAGTGCTCCTCCAAACCACGATGAAGATTTGATGGTCCAGATCGACTAACAAATAGTAGAGTCCGCACAGTAGAACTCCCTCTCTTCACTTCTCCGAGGATCTCCCCATCAAATCGTGGTTAGCAGTAACACAAGAGGAGCGAAACGAAGCCGGAGAAAATGATCGTCTGTGTCGCCGTCGTCGGCCACCAGGTGCGCTCACAAGATCGCAATTTAGCATTCAAAATTCTGTTCTATAAAAGCTATCAACAAGCCTGAGAAATTTTGTTAGGATTAACGAATTGGTAAAAAAAATTTTGGATTTGAACAGAACAATCCGCTCTACATACAGAGCTTTACGGATGCCGATGACGCTCTGAAGCTCCACCACATCGTCCACTGTTCCCTGGACGTTGTTGATGAGCGAGGTACTCTCTCTATGTAATCTGTATTTTCGGATTATAATTTTTTTTTTTTGGATCTGGTTTTGATTGGTGTTTTGCCTATGAAATGCGTTTTTGCATCTGGGTATTGCTGATTTGATCAAAATTAGGATTTTTCTTATGTTGGAAATGGAGATGCTCTCATGAATTTGATTAAGGGCACCCCATTTATTATTCATCACACAATTATCGCATATATATGGCATTATCATAAAAACTGCAACTTCATGATAATGTTTACTATCATAACCAACGAAATCGAACAACAAAAGCTTTATGATAATCAACGAAGATGAGTGAGTGTGTGTTTATGGTACCAAAAACAATTAACTTTTGAAAACAAACAGAATCATAATATTATGAAAAAAGCAGACAATTTCTTAAATGAGGGTCTTAAAATATACAGTTTATGCATACTTCATGTGTGTATGTTGTATAATTTATGATGGAGCTGTATACGGGTGCAGTGAACAACCCCAAAAAGTCTGGACCAACATTGAACGAGACATTTTTGGGCCTGCTTTATCCGACTGAAAATTACAAAGTGTGAGTATTATTTTTTTCTTTTTATCATTTTTCATTGGACGGAAGCTTGCTTATTGCAACTGTTTTATGGTCGTCTGGTGCGATTATATTTCTAGGTACGGGTACTTAACCAATACAAAGGTGAAGTTCATCTTGGTGACAACAGATTTAGATGTCAGAGATGCAGATGTTAGAAATGTGAGTTCGACTTTAAATCATATATGATGCATGCATACTTCCAAAGATCAAAAAATTATACTCTGACTATTATTATTACATAATACTCTTGCCGGGCATATGAGCAGGGCAGGGCACTTGGGCAGAGTGACTTTAAGGTTTCAGTTCATTCATATAGGATCAATTCAAATCAATTCAAGTGGTCATGATAGAGCAAATTTAGTTAGTTTAAGTTTATAATCAGTTATCCAATTCGTTTGTATGGGGATACTTATTTTTGACCAAGTGATGTGATTTTAAACAATACAATAACTTGAGGTCTTTCACATGAACATGATCATTGTCTGCTTCGGTGTCTATAATTTACCTTAAATCTAGGTACTCATAGTTTATAATTTTCTGAAACTGGGTTATAGACGATTAAAATTTTTAGAAGATATGACACGTCTTGAATGTTCAACCATCAATATTGGTGTTTCTGTACCTTTTCCCCCAATTTGCTTGTTTTGATGGTTCTTTGAGGGCTGAATCCCCAAACTGAACAAGTACTTGACTAAAGCCCAGGCCTTGGAAAGATCCAAAACATCGTGAACGGGATAATAAAACAACTTCAAACTATGGTATTATCTTAGAATGAAAGTGAAATTAGGTTCACTAATTTGATTCGTGCGATTCTTAAAAGCTAATTGTGTTGGATCAGTTTGCTGCTGGTGTCTCTCATTACAATAGTATTTTGTATGTATAATTATGTATAAGAACCATGGAATATGAACGCTGACTTGTTCTTGTTTCCTCTTCTTCCTCTTGATCGACATAGTTTTTCAGGAGATTCCATGCTGCTTATGTAGATGCAGTTTCAAACCCATTTCATGTGCCAGGTAAAAAGATAACCTCCAAGACTTTTGCAGAAACGGTGAGCACCATTGTCAAGTCATTTGGGTTGAGTTCTGCTGGCTGAAGAAGGAGCTAGAGTGGAATCGAATTTTGTCTCGTCTTCCCATATGAAGTTGGCGGATTTTCTTTTATTTTTCTTCTTTGTTTGGTCTGGGATTATCTATTTTCTGCTCAAGAAACGTTAGTACAGAGATTGTATCAAGTAAAGTTGTATCAAAATTCAAAGTTAACAACAGCGATTTCTTTCGTAAAGGAAAAGGAACAAAATGAAGAAAACAGTTGCGCAACTCCCCCCTTGGCTTTATTTGATTAATAAGTGTGCTCCTCAAGTGATCTCTGAAATATAGACCTCGCCACTTATTGCCCTGTTGTGTACATCAAATTTATTCTTTATAAATAAGAAGTTTGCACTTATATTTTTAAATTGTCAACCGACTATTTTTTTTTTTTTTTTTTTTTTTTTTTTTTTTTTTTTCCCTTTTTTTTTTAAATTGTCAACCCGCTTTTTTTTTTTTTTTTTTTTTTTTTTTTCTCCCCTCCCTCCGAGGAGTTAAAGCGATATGGTTAAAGTTGAACAGATTCTGAGGCAACGCACAGATGTATAACACAGGCATTAAGTTTTTAGCAAACACTTAAAAGGGAAGGAAATAGAAATGACACCAAATAAAAGGGCATTCCTTTAAGATATGCAATGGAACACAAGGAAATGGTTTAGAACAGGGCATAAAAAAAAAATAATAATGTCCTTGTAAAAGCCAATTGCATAAGCAGCTTCTTACACTGCCGCATGCGTTGTTCATATAATTGTTTGCTTTTACCAGCGAACTAAACGAACAAATACAATTGCACTTTAGAGTATGAAATATGTATTAAATCACTAATCACTAGAAAGAAAAGCGGAGATCAAATTTCCACGTCCGGTTAAATGCAAAAGATTCAGTACCTCTGCCAATTTAAAGCAGAATATTTGAGCGAAATAAATAAGCAGCCTCGGACAGATTGTGATTCAGAAAAAGTAAAAAAGGCAGTCTCATAATTGGGATGATTAAGCCTATAGGATGACATGAATCAAATCAAACGGATGATTGGAAGTCGATCAAATCAAGAAAACTAGGGCATTCTTGCAGGGAATTCCAAAACATAGAAGCACAATTTGCTGACAGCAGTGCACAGTGAGCACACAAGTTCTTTTCCGGATTACTATGTCAAAAATCGTCATCATCCTCCTCAGCTATGTGTTTGGCAAGCTCTTGCTCCTGTTGTTGTCTCTCCCTTCTCTTCTCAGCACTTTCTTTCTCCTTGTGGGAATTCGGTGGAAACCGAAGAGCACGCACTGCCTCGTTATGCAAGTTGAGGCAAAAAGCAATCCTAGTGTCAAATGCAGTTTGAGGCTCGTTTGTAGAGTAGATATCTCCAGTTTCCTTTGACACCATCCATCCATTTGCATGATCCAGTGTCGCATCAATTGCACCATCTCGGATTGCCTTTGACACAATACTCTCCGCATCAGCAACAGGGTTTGCAGAGTCCAATCTCAGCTTTTTGGCAACATCAATCAGAGAGATTCGCGAATAAGAGATGCTAATGTTTCGTAGCCCAGTTCTTATCACATTATGACGCAACCTAACAATCAAATTGTGGGTTCGGTCCGAATTGAAAGTGTTAGAGAACTTCTCAGCTACACTTCTAAAAAGCTCCAAATCACCAATTCGCACAGCCTGAAAAGCAGAGTATAAAAATTAAAACGCAGCAAAAAATAAAAAAAATAAAAAAAAATCAAGGCCATATTTCAGGCATGAGCGCATCCAACCCCATGCCTCAACAATGTGAAGCAAAGAGAAAAGAAAGTACACACTATTAGTCTTTGTTTTATATTTGAAAGCAATCAAACTGCCTTCTCAAACCATGTTGTTATTGAAAATAATAAATTTTAAGAGCTCAAGTTCAACAAACCAGACTTACATTTGTTAGTTCAAAATATGGCCTCAAAGCCTTCTCCATTCCCTTTTGCATAAAAACAGTTCTCTCAGGGATTTCTCCAAGCAATAAGCGGACAATGATAGCCCACTTATTACATTGAACTCGAAAACCAAGGGCCGCAACAGGAGCTTTCCTAGCTGCCTGCAGGAGGGACTCTTTCGCATCTGTATACTCCAACTGAATCGTTCTAATCTTGCCTAGGTAAAATAAGTAACGGCAAAACTGCAAGAAAAAATAGTCCGTCAAACATGCCACCTTATTGTTGGAGCCATTCCATAAAAAACCAAATCAACTAATCAAAACTCGGGAAACATTGGAAAAACAATTTATTCACACAAGAACAAGAATGCGGCATACAAAGAGAACACAAGCATTGTTTCCTCTAATGTACAGGTCCAAGCAATACAGTCAAGAAATTGACCTGCTGGTTTGAATGTGCTTCAAACCGAGGTGCCTTGGACCTCAACTTCTCAGCCTGGTCATACAAATTGTAGTGGAGGTAGTTTCGAAGTAAGAGATTAAGAAGTGTTTCCTGCATCACGTTACCACCCATGCATAAGAATCCACTCATATAAGCATAATATTTTAGGTAGTTGAATATTCACCTGACCCAGCTCATCATGGCGCAGTGTTGCAATACGGTGCAGCGCGAGAAGGTTTCTGTCGATTGAATGAAGGAAGAAATCAGTCATCAAATGCAAAAGTAATCAGCCATCCAAATTAATATACATGCATGTAAATACATGCACGCATATCATATATATGTGTGTGTATATATATTATATTATATTATATTTTATATATATATATCTATATATCAAATTTTATCTGTCTGACGTATAGACAAGCATAATCTATATGGATGAATATTATATTATATTTTATATATATATCTATATATCAAATTTTATCTGTCTGACGTATAGACAAGCATAATCTTAGAGATATGGATGATATGCACTCTTCCAGCCCAAGGAAATAGATATACAAAGCTGACACAAACAAGCATAAATTTATTGTGACTAAAAATGTGACTCACCCCCTAATTTCAGCAAGATCGCCAGTGAGCTCATAGGTAAAAGAGTAGTAAAAATATAACCTCGATGCCAGAACATCAATGGTTCTCCTATTCACGTTCTTCAGTCGAGCAATGCTTGCTGAGGCACAAGCTTTTGCCTAAAAGACAGCAAAGAAATGTCGCAAACAAACAGAGTAGGCCAAAGAAAATTAAAAAAAAAAAAAAGAAAGAAAAGAAACAAGGCTCAGAATTGATTTTATGGCTAACCTCATTGTATTTCTTCTGATCAATTAGAAAAATAAGCACAAGCAAATAGCAGTAAATTTCTAGCTCAGGTGGAGAGTGCTTTACGGTAGCTTGAGTTGTAGCTGTTGCAGTATCAACATCCATTTCATGGTCATTATCCTGCAACCAGGAGTTCAAAATCTAAGTGGTCCAGCAAATAATAATTTTAATAAAAGATAGTATAGAATCAAAAAGCCATATCAGAATATCTGCTTATCCTCACACTCCTTTGAGAAAAGAGACCATCTTTAAATAATAACGCATGCAGATAGATTTCACACAGTTCTGTTCTGCCCACTACAAATACTGGCCAATGAACGTATAAACAGATCAAAAAATCACAGGCCATGAAACTACTTTGTATGCCTAATATGAAATTTAAAATTTTTTCTAGAATTGACTCTTTAAAATTCAATGCGAAATCAACATTGCCCCCTTTGTTAAGTATTGCCCCTTTTGTTTAGATTGTTTAGGTTGATCTATTCTAATACAAGGGGCAGAACATGATTAAGGTGGTCAATAATATAAATGTGGTTATTATAAAAGGGTAGTTTTGCACTTTTCCCCATCATTTATGCAGCTAAACCATGACACAGAATGCCCCAATACCCTGCATTTCCTCAAATTCCCGGTCCCTAAATATCTTCTTTCTTATCAACATTGCGATGATCAAAGATGAAATTAAAACCAACAATCCACAAAGCTACTTCGTCAAAGAGCCGAATCAAATAGAAAAGAAAGATATGTTAAAAGGCAGAAGTCGCCAATCAGCTCAGCCCTTAAATCTGGAGTATATTTGGCCAAATAACTTAGCAATGAGCACGATTATCTTAAAATCAAAGATTAAGAAAGAAAGAACACAAGAAGACTTTACACATCGAAAAAACACAATACTGGCAAAATGCAGAAGAAATCCAGACTCAAAAGGGTTAGAAAATCACCTTTGGGAGATACGAAGATAGCCGAGCGTGCAGCTCGGATCCCGGCGCAAGAGCGAAATTAAGGAAAGCAGAGAGCACCGAAGACTTCAACTTTCGCCTTAAAGCCATTGTTAGGCGAACAGCACGCAGAATTCTTCGAACTTCCCGTCCAAAAGCGCCGGTCTCGATAAGCGCTGCAATCTCCTTCAAATCTGAACGCAAAAGAACGATTCCCAAGGACGCCATTAGAAACCGAAATTTCAAGCAATATCCAACGAATCTGGGGAAAACCTAAAATTGCCCAAACACTTCGAAGATAAATTATGGATTTCGAAATCTTACGGTGCAGAGTTGAAGGAGAAGTGGAAGAAACGGAATTGGAAGGATCTTGGAGCTCTTTCATCTCCACGTCTTGGGTCATCTTTGCAGAAACTGTAACCAAACAAAAATCGATGAAAATTGAATGAGAAAATGAAGGAAAAATTCAAAAGTAAACAGAGATGATTTGACCTACAATCGCAGAGAAAAAGCTAGAGCTGCTCTCGTTGGGAGGAGTTAGGGTTTCGGCTACTTTCGTACACTGCAAGACCACGGAAGGAGAGAGAAAGATGGGAAGAAAGGGGAAGAGAGAGAGAGAGAGAGAGAGCACCAAGCAAGTGAGTGTATAGAAGCAAGAGCATGCCAAAGATTAAACGTCGTCGTTTGTGAGAGTTATTGTCTTATCGATCAAGAAATAGAGAAACAATAAAAAGGGCAGAGTTTTGTTTTGTTTTGTTTTTTTTTTTTTTTTGGAGTTCTTAGTTCTTACTGTAGAGCAAACTACCTTTAGATTAATTTTTTAATAGTCACATTTATAACAAGAGTAATTATGTTTGACACGTTATAATTTTTTAATATAAATTTATATATTTAATCGTTAAAAAATTAATTTAACAATTTATTTTATAAAATAACTTGTTTTATTATTCGTTATACAAATCTAATCATTAAAAGTAATTATCTTTATTAATAATGCAAAATAAGATTTTCTTTTTCTTTTTACTGATTTTCGTATGTTCTTTTTTCTGAAATATTTTCTTTTTCGCATGGCCCTTCAAAAACAAAATAAATTCGTATGGTTTATTATTATTATTATTATTATTTTGCTAATCAATAAATTCGTATGGTTTTTCTGTAGACTCCGCACAAGGAAAAAAGACGTGCTAGTTACCTTTACAGGTATGCCCGGTAATATGGGTCACGATACGACTCAAAAATGACACGAAATTTGCGGATTAGGGTTGAGAAAAAAGAGGTTCGGGTCAGAATTGGATAGACCTAAAATTGACACAAAAAATACTGGTCAATTTCGGATTTGACCCGCATAACCCGAACACGATACGAAACTCGTAAAAAACTAAAAAATACATATATTTTTCATTACATATTTTAAATTTTATTATGAACTTGTAATATCATGATAGTTACTCAAAATCTTATACTATTATTTACTTAATTTTAACGGATGTTATTGTAATTTAGTGTGTTATGAATTTTAAGTTATTTCTAATATGTAAAAAACTAAATAAAAGTATACAATTTTCGTATCAATTTCGGATTCACAGGTCATTTTCGGGTCGTGTCTGTCAACTCGTAAAGTGATCGTATCGTGTTCGTGTTGTAGTTTTTAAAAAATTTCGTGTCACGGGTCGTGTTCAGGTTGACTATAAATTTTAAAAAAATGATCAAAACACGATACGTTACACGAATTGCCACTCCTACTTACAGGCATACTCTCAGGAAGTATAATACATGTTGTTTTCATGTATGAGACGACGAGTCGTGTTGATGTGAAACCATATGCTGTTATAAACGGCTTGCCGTTTAAACTTTAAGGGGAAGTTTTTTATTTTCCTCATCTTCAAACGACATTTTATTCATTAAGAAATAAACATGTTATTATGAAGTAACAAATTGACATTTTCTTGACATGTTAGTTTGGGTTACTAGAAAACGACATTTGGCTTTACTATCGTTCTTCTTTTTAATTTTTTTTTCCTTAGAACTAGACGACAGTCCATTTTACTTGCGTTCTTTTTCCGAGACTCTCTTTTACTCTAAAAAACTACACAAATACTATTTGTCGTTATATAGACAACATAAATGTAGTTTAAACTTTGGGGAAAACGACATTGATCTTTTTACGTGTCCTTTTTAGTAAACTGACAAACCACATGGCACGCATGTTCTTAAAAAGATAATATTTAGTCTTTTTTTTGTTAGTGAGTTACTCACAATCTTGTTCCATCTCATCTGAAATCTGAAAACAATTAGACTGGATAGATGATTCAAGAAGAGCAAAATAGATGACACTTCATTTGTGTAACTATGATCTAATCTTGTTTCTTTTCCAGCAAAAATAAATAAAATAAAATAAAATAAAATAAAAAAACTATGATTTAATCTTACATAAAAGCCCATAAAACAGAATTGTTTCCGGAGAATTCTCTATTAAGGTAGTGAATTGTCGTATTTTATGCATAATTTCCATTTATCTACTTGCAAGAAAACTTGGAACACTTTTTCATGCACGGTAAGAGAAATTTTAAGCCAATTTGCAATTTGAAAAATTCTCTTTCCAATTGTTGTGTCCCTCTGTTCCGTGAACTGATCAATTGCTTCT